CTTCCCCGAAGACACGGACAACTTCTCAGAAGGCGCGAGGGCCTCTGAGAAGTCCCGAAGCCTTCTGAGAAGGCCTTCTCCTTCTCACATCTCTCCCTCGCTCGCCGCCGACGTCTGACACTACCATCGCGATCGCTCGGACGTCCATTCCCCGTACGTTTTTCGATTTCGTGCGTGTATTTCTCGTAAGACGATCCAGGATGCTCCTCGATGATCCTCGCCAGGAAAAAACGCGCAAGTCCGAGCGATGCCAAGCGCCTGCATCGTCCAGCCCTGAACGATCCAGTCGGCCACCTCACCGATTTCTTCCTTACGCCCCCCCCCGCCAGTCTATCCCTGTGTCGGCAGATCTGCTCTCCGAAGACGCTATTGCAGAGCAGACCAGTCTCTCCTCCTTGCAAGAGGGTCCACCGCCGATTCAAGAAATCCGTGCGCACCTCCGAAGCATGAAGTTCGCGCAGATTTTCTCCTAAGGGAAAAAAGTCTCAACCCCGTCTCAGGGAAGGACCAATCGCTCTCAAAGCATGAAGTTCGCGCAGATTTTTTCTAAGGGAAAAAATCTCAACCCCGTCTCAGGGAAGGACCAATAGCTCTCGAATCAGAAAGTCGGATAGCATCGCAGCGCGCATTGGATCGGGCTGCACCAGTGCGGAATCGAACTCGAATCGGATCGACCACGTTAAGATGCACAACGACATCATGCAATCATCGAGACGCTATCGTCGAGCATCGGAACCGAGATCGGACCGGACTGGCCGACGTCGACATCGCATCGGATCGATCGGATCGGCACGAAACCCGCCTCGGGACTCCCCCATGTGCTGTCGTGGTCCCGTTCAAGGGAATGCCTGTGCCGTCGTGCACCGCCTGGAGTGAACATGTAACAATGAAGGGGCCCTGGGGCACACAAATGAGTACACACAAATAACAATTTTCCTTATGTTTTCGCGTATTTCCTGGGTTTCTGTCTTCCCCCCCCACTTCCCATATTTTCCCATATTTTCTGGGGAGTCGACGATTAATTGTGTCCGTGTGTTTCTTTTCCTCCTGAAGCAGGGGCGAACCCGAGAGGCACCACAGAGAAGAGCGCAGAGCTTTCCTGCCGCTTCTCTGCTCGGGCGAGGGCGGCCCGGAGCGCCGCGCCGCATGCAGGAACTGCGCGCGCGCGGCCTTGAGGGCAGCCCAGAAGAGCCACGGGAGGCCATCCTCCTCGCTCCACGATCCCTATTGATCCTCGACCCTCCTCGATCCTCGATCCTCCTCGGTCCTCGATCCTCCTCGATCCTCGATCCTCCTCGACCCTCGAGGGAGGAGGCCCGCGGGCGTGTGGGCCGCAGACCCTGCCCGCGGGGCCGAGTCTGGTCGGGCCTCGCGAGCGGGCTCGTGGGGTCGCGGGGGGCGACGCATCGGGGTCGGGGGAGGACGCCGAGATCCGGCGGCTCCCCAGAGGAGGAGGAGGAGGAGGAGGAGGAGGAGGAGGAGGAGGAGGAGGAGGAGGAGGGGGAGGAGGAGGAGGGGGAGGAGGAGGAGGAGGAGGAGGAGGGGGAGGAGGAGGAGGAGGAGGAGGAGGAGGAGGAGGAGGAGGAGGAGGAGGAGGAGGAGGGGGAGGAGGAGGAGGAGGAGGGGGAGGAGGAGGAGGAGAGGAGGAGGATCAGATGTTTTCGACCCTGGCGCTTGCCCTCGATTTCGGCCTCTGGGGCCCGTCGTCGGACCCTGGGGCCATCCACAGTGGATCCGGGGCGAAGTGCAGTTGGACCTGGGACAGGGACCTCCTCCTCAACTCCTCCTCCTCCTCCTCCTCCTCCCTCCTCCTCCTCCTCTCCTCCTCCTCTCCTCCTCCTCCTCCTCCTCTCCTTCCTCTCCTCCTCCTCCTCCTCCTCCTCCTCGTTTTCCGCTCCTCCTCCCCTCCAACTTATGGTGGTGGTGGTGGTGGAAAACAGGGCCATCGCCCGACGTGATCTCAGGGATCCCCGATCTGTCGAGGCCCTCCGCCAGCCGAGCTGAAGAACATTCGAAGGTGCCCTCCCCCAGGGTGCACGAGAACATCCCACGAGCACGAAGCACACTAGGGCACCCTCCCCGAGCCGACCTCGATAGGATGCCTCGGGCCGGCTGTGCCCCCCAGGGAAGGGGTCGGGACTTCTGGGATCGCGGTTCGAACACAAATCATATCGGAGGCTGCCTGGCACGGCCGCCCATCATGAGAGAGGGCCTGTGGGGCATCTTTGGGTGCTCTCTCTCTCTCTCTCTCTCGGAGGGGGCCCTCTTGGGAAGCCTCTTGGAAGGAAGGGGCCCTCTTGCGAGGCCCTTCCACCTAGGCCACCCCAGCTTCGCGAATCTCGCGCCCTGCAACGCGCGGCGCACGGCGGCCTTGCAGGATGGCGGGCGGGGGACTCTCTGAATGGAAGGTGCTCCTCGCCCGCCGGCCTCCTCCTCCTCCTCCTCCTCCTCCTCTTCCTCCTCCTCCTCGATCCACCTCCTCCTCCTCCTCCTCCTCCGCCTCCTCCTTCTCCTCCTCCTCCTTCTCCCCCTCCTCCTCCCCCTCCTCCTCCTCCTCGCTCTCTCGGTCCCATCGAAGACCCCTCGCGTGCCGTCGCTCGGGCGTCTCTTCCCCGCGCACTCTTGCGGCTCCGCGCGTGCGCCTCTCCTCTCGCCCGAGGATCCGGGATGCTCCTGGATGGTCCTCGCCGGGACATGCGCACGCCTGAGCGATGCCACGCTCAAGGCATGCACGCCTAGGATCGTGTGGTTCCCATCGTACTTAGGGACCGCATCCCGGAAAGAGATTTCGAGCACCCGGAAAGGTGCCGAAGGAGTGTCGAAGCAGTGTCGGACGAGTGTCTCCCAGGGTCCGATGCGTCAAACCCCTCGAGTTTGGGGGTACTTTTCTGGTGCTCGAGATTCTCTCTGGTGATCAAGGCTGAAGTAGGTTGGAACACCATAAGCCCAGGAGGAGGAAGGGAGGGGAGGAAGGGAGAAAGGAAGGGGGGGGGAAGGGAGGGGAGGAAGGGAGAGGGAGGAAGGGAGAGGGAGAGGGAAGGGAGGGGAGGAAGGGAAGGGAGAGGGAGGAAGGGAGAGGGAGAGGGAAGGGAGGGGAGGAAGGGCAGGGAGAGGTAGGAAGGGAGAGTAGTAGGACAAGCTAGGTGCGCTCGCGTCATATCTGACGCATCGCGATTTTCTCATATCGTGACCGTCCTACGTGCGCGTGCGTGCGTGCGTGCGTGCGTGCTGCATGGTGGTGGTGGTGGTGGTGGTGGTGGTGGTGGTGGTGGTGGTGGTGGTGCGGCGCGGTGGTGGCGGGCGGATGGGCGCGCGAGAAAGAGGCCCGCGCTGGGGCGAGAACGCCATCCTGAACGACGGAGGCCAAACACCGATCCGAAAATGAGGCCCACGCTGCAGCGGGAGCACGATTCGGAACGATTCGGGAGCAGAAATGAGGCCGGCGCCTCAGCGAGAGCAGCATTTTTGAAAAAAACACAAGCGAAAACCCAACTCCGGGGAATCCTGTGTGTAAAAAAACAGTACGCGGGGGGGTGCCGAATATCTTCCGGACGCCATCAGGGGAAGTGGGAGAGTATTTTCATATTGTGTAATTGTGGAGGAGGAGGAGGAGGAAGGGAGGGCAGGAAGGGAGAGGGGGGGATGCAGGGGCGGACGGGCTGCCCGCCTGGCGCCGCCGCGGCCCGCCCGCTCCGCGGCCCGGGCGCCCAGGACCCTGCTCTCCGCACGGCGCCGCAGGGCCGGCAGCGGCGCTGTGCGGATCGCCTCTCTCGAAAGGGGCCCTGGGACACACAAACAGAGACACGCAAATCAAAGGACTCCCCGTATTTTCCCATATTTTCTTGGCTTTTGTCTTCCCCCCCACTTCCCATGTGTTCCTATATTTTCTGGGGAATCGACGATTCATTGTGTCTGTGTGTCTCTTTCCCTCCTGATTTCTCTCTCTCTCTCTCTCTCTCTCGCTGTGCTCGTCTTGTGCAGACCTCTCTTGCTCGCACGCGTGGCGGTCTGCCCAGCTGGGCTCCTCCTTCAGGCGACGCCTCGGGCGCTGTACAGCGCGTGCTGGGCTCTTTGTACATCTGTGAGGCCTCCACGCGCGGAGACGTGTGTGAGCGACGGCGAGAGAGAGAGGGCGCGGCTCGGGGCCGCCGCGCGGGCCTCTCTGGAGGAGCGCTGGGGCTGGGGCGAGATGGGCGAGCTGGACTGCCGATCTGCGGTGCCGCTTGCCACCAGAGCATGCCACTGCTGCGTGCGCGCCACGTCAAGAGCAGACGCAGCCGCCTTTCCGCGCCGTGGAGCAAGCCGTGGCCGAGCCTCTCCTGCATGCTCCAGGGCTCTTGGCGGCGCCCGACGCGATCTGTGGCCCCCTGCTGCTGCAACTGCCTACGCTGCAGGGCCCCGATGCTGGGCGGCACCCGTGGAAAAGATGACACGATTCCCAGTATTATGCGACCTGCGCGCTCCAGTCGCCCGCCCCGCAAGGCCGAACAGCGGGGGGGGGCCCTGGGGGGAAGGAGCGGCACCGGCTACCGAGTCGGTGAGACCCGTCCCCCTGAGGTTCAGCTCTCCGTCGACCTCTCCCCCCAACATCGCACCGCCGCCTCCCCGGGGCCCCCGCAGCTCCGCGACTCTGCGGGCACAGCTCGTGCCTGGGCCCCGCTCGCGAGAAGGCGAAGCCTCGGCGGCAGAAGAGCGCGCGTGAGCACGCTGCGAGCCCGCAGACACCGGCAGCCGCCTCTGCTTTGAGAGCTCGTCGCTGCCGGGCCGGCCACGTCCGCTCGCGGCCGAGGCCGACGGCTGAGCAACGTCTGAGCTGCTGTTGCAGGCCATGGGCCTGAGCTCTGAGACGGCTTTCCACCGCGTGCGCCTCCCTGCATTCCCCTCACCGCCCCCGCCCTCCAACCTCCAAGCTCCCCCAGGGGTGAGGACGAAGAGAGGAAGGTGCACCAAACAATTCCTGTTCGAGTAGCGGGGTTAAACGCACGTCTCTGTCACACGCCTCAACCCAGCGTGCTCTCTGCGCCGTATTTTATGTACAAGAACCCGTCGTCTGCCCGGAACCTCTCGTAGAGCTCGGACATCGGCGCACTTGTCTTTGGGGCGAGGCCGTTCAAAAAGATGTAAATGGTCTGCTCGGCGCCTCTGTGTCCGGCAAGGGCCTGGGACAGATTCTTATGAATAATGTACTTGAATTCGCCGCAAAGCATGCTGCCTGGAACTATGAATTTCTTCTTCTTCATCTCTGGGATCCCCGTGGAATATGGCGACCTCTCGCAAATTACTGGGACCCGGTCGGGGTACCTTTGCCGATAGTTCGCCGCCTCCTTCGAGCTGGCCTGCGGGCTCCGCACCGGCTGCGCCTGACTGCTGAGAAGGGCGCGCACGCCCAGTCGCACTGGAGCGGGCATCGTCGCGAGGTCCACATCCCTGGAGATCTTCTGGCAACCCTTCTCGACCGCGGCGCCGACCATCTGTGCTCCAGCGTCCGCGGCAAGCAAACCTGCGTCCACGGCGCGGTCCGTCACGGTGAGAAAGGTGGAGCCCACCTTGCGCGCGACCTTGCCGGTGCTGCCCTCTCTGGTGGCGGCATACATCGCGGCCGCGCCGAGAGCGGCGCCCGACACAGGCCCCGCAAGCGCCATGCCGGCCGCCGATGCTACGGTTGCGGCAGCACCCATCACCCGTCGGGCGTCCGACGAGACCACCTCTCGGCCGGCGCCGTCCTCGAGCAACGCGTCAGAACCAGCCTGGCTCGGCGAGGGGACAGCCCGGTCCTGGTCGGCCAGCTCCGGGCATGTGTCCTGCATGTCCATGCCTACCTGTGGGCGCGTCTCCTCTCACGAGCTACGGGCGTACCCATATCCATGCCTTCGCGGCCGGGGCACCGAGGCGCGATCCCATGGATGCGGTTCCCGCGGGGCGTCCGCGAGAGACGCCGCCCTGTATCCATGGGGTCGCGGCCGAGGAGTCCGGGCCGCGAGGCCGCGGGTGTGGACATGCCTCCCGCCCGCGATCCTCCACGTCGTCACGGTTGCCGCTGGATTGCGCGGCCGCCTCCTCGTCTTCTGCGTGCTGCAGGGCGCCCTCTGGTGGGTTCCACGGAGACCTCTGTCCAGGGCTCGGGCTGAACAATGTTTTCCGCTTCTGTTTTGGCCCCTTTTTCCTTCGCTCTGCCTTTGCTGCGAAACGAAATCAAAACGAGCACGGTCTACGAGATCGCCCAAACACCGTTTAGCTCGAGCCCTGCCTCTGACTTCGCGGCGGCATGCCCAGGCTCAATCTGGGATGCGCTCAGCTGCACATTGGAGACGGCCAAGGGATTGGTTGGGACCCTCGAAAAAATCGGCCGGGGGGGGTCCGAAGCCAACTCCGCTCGTAAAATGGGTCCCCTGACCCCTCTCGGGGTCCATCTGGTGGAATCTTTCACCCCGGATCCGTTCTCCGCGGTCCCGGGGCCGGGAGGCCCGAGAAAGGGCCAAGCCCCTCCTCGGACCCAGCACGTCGAAGCCCCCCCCCCCCGGTCCTGCTCGCCAGAGCCAGTGCTGGGCCCTTTCAGGTTCCCCCCGCCAACTCCAATGTCCAGGCTCGATCTGGCGTGCGCTCGGCCGCACCGGCCCTGGCCCCCCCCCGCCCGCCTGCGCCCCAGAGGCGAGGGGGGGGGGCCGGTCTCGAGCCCAAACGGCTACGGAGGGCGTGCCAGCACCTCCTGCCACGAAGCAACGCGGCCGACCAGAGCGGCTGCGAGGCACACCGCGGACATGCCGTGGTCGGGGTCCGAGCAGCTGGGATCGAAGGATCGCGCCGCATCGCCGATGCATCGGCGACGTCGGTGATGCCTCGGCGACGCCAATCGGGCTCCACATCGAGCCGCATCGGCGACGCATCGGCGATGCATCGGCGGTGTGGCGCGATCCTCCGACACCTCTGCTCGGACCCCGGCGGGGAGGCCTAGGTAGAAGAAGCGAGGCCCCCCTCGACCTGCAGGGTGGGAGCACTGCAGTCCTCGTGCGAGCATACACGTTGTTCATTTCTAATCGTCCTCATTTCTAATTGTGCTCGCTTCTAATTGTTGCTCCCTGCCCCCTAGTGGCCAGGAAGAGGCCCAGGATAGAAGAATTAGAAATGAAAGGATCTTGCCCCCCCGAAAATCAAATAATTTTCGAATAATTAGAAACGAACAATGTGTAGAAGAAGCGACGTCGTGCGAGCACACGGACGGAATAGTACAGACAACAGTTCTTGTCTGGCCACGGCGAAGCTCGGCCGCGAATGGGCTCCCAGGAGCTAGATCGACGGCCCGCAGACACGGGAGCCACTCCCGAGCCACCAAAACGGTCCTTCTTGGAGCGTCTTGGCCGTGAGTGCTCCTGTCGTTCTGAATGCTCCTGGAGCTGTCTTGACTGCAGAGACCTGGACTTGGTGGACGCCGCTGTAACCTGACGACAGCACCACACCAGAGGATATATTAACCAAGCATGACCGCGAGGATTGCTTGAGTGA